GGCTGACTGCCTGTCCCTCTTCCATAGCTATGTTCATGCCTGGGTGTCTGTGGAGAAGGAGCAAGTGATGTCCACCAATATTCTTAATACCTTTTGGGAAAAGTGGGCAGTGTGGGGTGTGGATTGCCTTATCACCCCCTACAATTCCATTTTGATTTGATCCCTACTCTTTCCCCTTCCCCTTCCCCGTCCCCCTCCCCCTCACTTTTTTTTTCTTTTTACATAGGCTTTGCCCCTAGGGGCTTTGCTTGACACTAATTTTTTGGTCACATGGAACTGAAGTAAAGATGATTTAGTAGCAAGGCTTGCTCCTTGTACCACAGTTTTGTATGTATGCTGTGAGGTGTGTGCTTGCTGCCTATGGGTGTGGACTTGGCCCTTTTATGTTTTGACTGTTTTGTATGTACTGTGTTTTGCATATCCCTGGGTCTAGCAGGCCTTAGTGTGAGTTGGAAGGTGTGTAGGTTGCCCCAAGAGCCACAAGGATTGTAGGTCATCCCAAAAACTGCTGTCCCCCGAAGGCCTAGAGATGGGTTGCCCTAGACATGGCTGCAAGGTAGTAGGAGCGGGCTAGGAGCTGGAAGGTGTGTAGGGGTGGGCTGAGAACTGGAAGGTGCTTGGGGACAGGCTGTCCTAGAGATGATTGGAAGGAGAGTAAGGGTGGGCTGATTGCTGGCTTGCCAGGGGTGTCAGTGTTCCATGTATTTGGTTGGTTGGATTTATCTCTTATGTACTCTTGTCTAAAGCTCTCTCTTGCAGTGAGTTGCAGTGGGATTTGGGGTTTGGTTACTGTCCCCATTTTCCTATAAATTGTTGACTGATTTGTTAATTGATTGCATGATGGAATTTGGGGTACATTTCATTGACCCCTTTTCCTTGTAAAGTGTTGTTTGCTTTGTTGACTGTTACCTTGATTTGTTTTGCATCTTTGTACACTTTTTAATGAAAAGAGTATAACCAGGAGATTAGAATCTCATCAGTTCAAGCAACTGACTTTGAGCTGACTGGTCACAGCCAGTGGACTGTGCACAAGTAAATAAAGGGTGACATGGTGACAGGATACCAGCCCCTGTAGTTACTATATTACTCAGGGATGTTACTATATTAGAACTGTTAATCAGTAATAGATACTATATCTATTGTTCTGTTGTTTTCCAACAGAGTTAAGTTATTCTAAATTTCTTCTCTTGTAGTTTAATTATAGCGTTTGAATAAATTCTGTTTGCTCAGTCAAGTAGTTTGACCAGTCACACTGCATCTGGAACACAGCCCTTTAAAGTTGCTTTAAAATAAGAAAATGTTAGTGTCAAGGCTACCCTCTTAGAATCTTTTGAGGAGGTCTGGTCTGGTCCGTAACATTTGATAAGTACTTAAAACTTTGACAAGGGTCTGAAGCAATGGTTACCGCACAAAATGAGGTCATGGTGTAGGGGTAACATATTAGCATCGACAGGCAATGAGCTCAGTTTGGCAGATAAGAAAATATGATCTCTCCACTCTGGCAGGAAGAGTAGTTATTTAATTGGATGGAGACTATGAAACACTAGGAGGCACAGAGGGATCTGGGTGTCCTAGATCTTGAATCACATGCTTTGCAGGCATAGCAAATTATTAGGAAGGTAAATGGAATGTTATGTATTGCCATAGGAATGGAATTTCTAAGTAGGCATGTTTATCAATAACTTCAAAGCATTAATTAGAGAACCTTATCCAATTTTAGTCACCTTTTTAAGAAAGGACATAACTCCATCAAAAGCAGTTCACACTCACTCACTGATTCCTAGGATTGAAGAGGTTATCTACTGAGGAAAAGTTTGCATGTTGGGCCTGTATTCATTGTAATTTGGATCAGTGAGAAGTGAACTTATTGAAAGAAATAAAATCTGGGGATACAATGAGGGAAGATGCCAAAAGGATATTTTTCCTCTTATGAGACTAGAACTAGGGGACACAGTTTAAAAATAAGGGATTGCTCATTTAAAATGGACATTAGTTCTTAAGAGCAGGAGTATGCAATTAAACTCCTCCCACCTGCTCTGCCCATCAACACGATTATGGCTGATCTCATGTTGACCTCAATACCACTGTCCTGTCAACTCAGCATAGCCCTTAACGCATTACTAATTTAAAATCTATCTCCTCCTTAGACTTGTGTCCTAGCAACCACTGCACTCTAGGGTACTGAATTCCACAGAATCACCACCCTTTGAGGGATGTAATTCCTCCTGTTTTTAAAACTACCACCCCTTAAACTAAAATGACTTGTTCTAAGTTGCCTTAAGGCATCTTATCTTTAACATCTTCTTTACCTCAATTAGATCTCCTCTCATTCTTCTGAACTCTAGCAAGTTAGGCCTAAACTGCTCAATGTCTCTTCATAAGATTAAACTCACATTTCAGGAATTAATCTGGTGAACTGCCTCCAATGCAACAACATCCATCCTCAAGTGAAAGGACTAAAACTGTCCATGATATTCCAAATCTGTATTGGAGAGGAGGAGCATTTTTTTGAGGGTCGCAAGTCTGTGGAATTCTCTTCTACAGACAGCAGTGAAGGCAAGACCATTGAATATTTATGAGGCAGAGGTAGGCAAGGTCTTGACAAGAGAATCAAAGGGTATAAGGTGGTGTGTCCAAGAAATTAGATCAGCCGTTATCTTATTTAATCATGAAAAGGGTGGGAGACAATTGAACAGTCTTGAAAGCAGAAAATGACAGAGTAGTTAGCTAAACGTTTCTCAAAGGGAAAATGCAGTTCCCTAATCAGTCGATGTCGTCAAATTGGAAACTGCCAGAGTAATAGAAAAACAATTCAACAAGTCAATTCATGTCAACTGGAATGTATAGTTCAAGGCGGGTAAAGTGCTTTCCAAGTAGTAGGCAATGACTTGTTAAGCAGTGAAAGCATTCCCTGACAGGAGAACATTAAACATGAACCTGGCTATGGCTAGAGCTCTTCATTGAAATGGATCAAAGTCTTCACAATTTTCTAGTTTCGTTTAAGGTAGCTCTTCCCACTGTGCATATGCTTTCCTCAATCTGCCAGGTTACAACTAGAACATGCTTGGGCTGATGGAAAAGAAGGAATCCATGTGCATATTCACTCAACTGTCTCAAGTCTTTCTGCCTATTACGGGGCTTTCCTCCCCTCCACCACCATCCTAAAGACTGCAAAACCATCCCATGGATAGTGGGAAAGGGGCAGAATCATGTCAGTAACCTGAACAAAACTTATTTTCTGGAATTCTTCTATTGTGTCAGTCTCCAAGCACAACTCCACTGGAAAATTCTACTTATCATTTTCAATGAATTTGTATCTGGTATCTATTAAAACAAATTTGTGATCTACTGTACCTGCTTCTGTTTCAGCTTTGCTGCCTGTAATTTTTCAGACTCTAACTTTTCTGTTGTACGCTTCATTATCATAATGTCAGAACATACATCACTTTTCAAGTTTTCCATGTAGAAATGCCGCAGTGCAATGTTTTCAACTTCTGTTTGTAGTTGTGACACTAGGATGAGATTACATATTAACATGATGTAGCATCATTCAATACCAAATCTATGTCCAAATGGAAAACATGCACAGTTCTTTCCATGATTTCTACCTTTTGTACATGGAGACCATTTCAATGGCACAATAAACTTGAGTTGAATAGGTTTTGGATATCTATTAACATTGGAAGATAAAATATTTCAAAATTGTAGCTAAGTACTTCAAACTTAAATTCTGGAAAAATAAACAATTGGCTTACAAATTTATAATTATAAAGTCAAAAAATTAATTTAAAAATGAGAAACTGTATATTGTACATTAGCATTTTCTTACTCAAGATTCTATTAATTTCTGCATAATTGAAAGAAAATACAACCTATAAAACATTTGGCTGAACCTTAATTTTCTGAAGAGGGGTCCTGACCCGAAACGTCAGCTTTCCTGCTCCTCTGATGCTGCCTGGCCTGCTGTGTTCCTCCAGCTCCACTGTATTATCTCTGACTCCAGCATCAGCAGTTCTTACTATCTCTGGCTGAATCTTAACACTTTTTTTTGGCTAAGTGCACATTGCATTGAGTTTGGAGGGATTCTCACCATGAGGTCAAGCAAGTTTTCTCGATTGAATCTTCCCATACCCACTGCATTAATTGCATTGCCACTACTATGGCATGTATCATATCCAATTTCCATACCATTTAACCTTGTGCCTTTCCCAGAACTCGCCACTTACCAGATATTTGGGAATTGACTGGCATTCAAGCAGACCCCAGGTGGCCTTTAAAATGCCATTGCGCAGCCAGATAAGCACTGTCAAAGTGCAGCTGCATGGCACGGTTTTTGACATTTGCCCCAGACATGGCTGACAAGGGTGAATGGATGCCTCGCTTTGCAAGCAGGAACCTGGAGTTCCTGCTGGACGGAGGAAGCTTTAAACAGTAAGCTTTGCATGGTTGGGAAGAAGTGATCACATCCAGGGAGACACAGCCCGAGTGAGTATATATTTTGGGGATTTTAGAGCAGCATAGGAACTTGGTGCAGAGGGGAAGATGTGCTTTGTGTTTGCTATTTTGATTTGTAGTTTGTAAGGTCTTTTTAACAAGATAAGTTGAAGCCCAGGATCAGGGGCCTAGCACAAAGCAAAGAGTGACATGAGAGGAAAACCACAAGATAATTTGTTGGTAATGCTGTTAATTTGACTATCATTTATAGATTATCTTTAAGGGTAAATATGAGAAATATTTACATGTTACAAACTAAACCATTAGGAAATATAAAATAAACTAAGGACTAAGTAAATAAAACAGAGATGCAGAGCCAGGCAATGTGTTGTACCTGCATGATGTGGGAGTGGGTGGAATCCATTGTCATTCATAGTGACCACATCTGTAGCAAGTGTTAACAAGGTGTAGAGCTGGATGAACACAGCAGGACGAGCAGGAAGGCTGACGTTTCGGGCCTAGACCCTTCTTCAGAAATGGGGGAGGGGAAGGGGATTCTGAAATAAATAGGGAGAGAGGGGGAGGCGGATAGAAGATGGATAGAGGAGAAGATAGGTGGAGAGGAGACAGACAGGTCAAAGAGGCAGGGATGGAGCCAGTAAAGGTGAGTGTAGGTGGGGAGGTAGGGAGGAGATAGGTCAGTCCAGAGAGGATGGACAGGCCAAGGGGGCGGGATGAGGTTAGTAGGTAGGAGATGGGAGTGGGGCTTGAGGTAGGAGGAGGGGATAGGTGGGAGGAAGGACAGGTTAGGGAGGCGGGGACAAGCTGGGCTGGTTTTGGGATGTGGTAGTGGGAGGGGAGATTATACTGCATCCGCTGTTCCCGTTGTGGCCTCCTCTACATCAGGGAAACCAAGCAGAGGCTTGGGGACCGCTTTGCAGAACACCTACGCTGGGTTCACACTAAACAACTGCACCTCCCAGTCGTGAACCATTTCAACTCCCCCCTCCCATTCCGCAGACGACATGTCCATCCTGGGCGTCCTGCAGTGCCACAACAATGCTACCCGAAGGTTGCAGGAACAGCAACTCCTATTCCGCTTGGGAACCCTGCAGCCCAATGGTATCAATGTGGACTTCACAAGCTTCAAAATCTACCCTCCCCCTAACGCATCCCAAAACCAGCCCAGCTCGTCCCCGCCTCCCCAACCTGTCCTTCCTCCCACCTCAAGCCCCATCTCCTTCCTACTAACCTCATCCCGCCCCCTTGACCTGTCCGTCCTCCCTGGACTGACCTATCTCCTCCCTACCTACACTCACCTTTACTGGCTCCATCTCCGCCTCTTTGACCTGTCTGTCTCCTCTCCGTCTATCTTCTCCTCTATCCATCTTCTATCCGCCTCCCCCTCTCTCCCTATTTGTTTCAGAACCCCCTTCCCCTCCCCCATTTCTGAAGAAGGGTCTAGGCCCAAAACGTCAGCCTTCCTGCTCCTCTGGTGCTGCTTGGCCTGCTGTGTTCATCCAGCTCTACACCTTGTTATCTCAGATTCTCCAGCATCTGCAGTTCCTACTATCTCTGTAGCAAGTGTTAGTTGTTTGAGGAACTCCAGTTCAGAGTTGTTGTGCTGCGAGTATTGCAACGTATCAGGGAAGCAGTTAATTACTTGGATATTGTGTTTCAGGAGGAAGTCACACCATTTAGATTTATTATCTCGAATTCGGTCATTGGTCAGGGACAAGAGGGCGTGACTATGAGCAAAGCATATAGGGTGATCCAGCATGTTGATGGAGCCTCAGCCTTTGAGCCTGTCTAACAGGTTTGAGATCCTTGCTCCCTATGTAGAGGAAATCAGGGGATGTAAGGAGGATGAGCAAACTGACCATAGCACCATGATACAGGCAGCCATTTGAGAAGGGGGAGAAAACAGAAATGTGGTTATAATCAGGGATAGCCTAGTCAGGGGATTAGACAGGGTTCTCTGGGACCTGGATTGAAAGTCCCAAAGGTGGTGTTGCCTGCCTGGCGCCCAGGTTCAGGATATCTATCTCATCTGGGCTATAGAGGAACTTGGAATGAGAGGGGAAAAACTCAATTGTCATGGTCCATGTAAGTACCAATGATACAGGTTGAAAGAGACAAGAGGTTCTGCTGAGGGAATGTGAGTGGGTAGGGACTAAATTATAAAACAGAACCAAAAAGATGATAATCTCTGAATTACCACCTGGACCACAAGCTAATTGATACAGGGGTCAATAAAATTAAAGAGGTAAATACATGGCTCAAAGATTGGTGTGGGAGAAATGGGTTCGAATTCATGGGACATCGATACCAGTACTGGGGAAGGAAGGAGCTGTTCTGATAGGATGGACTCCACCCTGTATTATGCTAGGACCAGAGTCCTGGCGAATCGCATAACTTGGGCTGTCAATAGGGATTTAAATTAAATAGTGGGGGCATGGGTTCAGTTGCACAAAAGTTATAAAATCAAAGTTAAGGAGAAGGCAGTATGTTAGTGATGGGGATGTTTGTTACTAGAAAACAAAATAAAGGGACAGATATGTGAATATCATATTGTATGAAGGGACCATGAGAATGTAGGGAAATTTGATAATAGAACAAACAGGCTTTGTATCTAAATGCACAAAGTATTTGGGATAAGCTAGACGAACTTAGAGTGTAAATCAAGGTAAGTGAATATGATCTCATAGCCATTATAGAAACAAGGTTTAAAAAGGAAATTAAATAAAAACTGAAAGAACTGCGGATGCTGTAAATCAAAAACAAAAATAGAAATTGCTGGAAAAGCTCAGCAGGTCTGGCAGCATCTGTGGACAGAAATCGGAGTTAACATTTTGGGTCGAGTGACCCTTCCCCAGAACAGTTCTGAGGAAGGTTCACTCACCTGAAACATTAATTCTGATTTCTCTCCACAGATGCTGCCAGACCTGAGCTTTTCCAGCAATTTCTGTTTTTGTTTTACAAGGAGATTAAAACTGGGAAATTAACATTCAGGGATATTTCTCCTTTTGGAGAGACAGGAGGGATGGAAAAGGTGGTGGGGTAGCACTTTTAATTAGAAATAAAATGTGGACAGTTGCAAGAGATGATCTAGGCTCAGATGGTGTAGAGTCCATTTAGGTGGAGGTAACAAATAGCAAGGGAAACAAGTCATTGGTAGGAAGTGTACAGACCTCCAAAAAGTAGGCACTCGATGAAAAAGGCTATAAATCAACATGAACATGCTAAAAAAAGTGATAATTCTGGGTTACTTTAATCTTCATGTTGATTGGGTTAACCAAGTTGGAAAGGGTAGCTCTGACAACAAATTCATAGAGTGCATTAGGGACAGTTTTCTGGAGCAATATGTCATAAAGCCAATCAGGAAGCAGACCATCTTGGATCTAGTAATAGGTAATGAGGCAGGTTTAATAAATTACCTCTGAGCAAAAGATCCCCTCAGGAAGTATTGAGAAATTTGGGTCAGAAACAACTGTATTTAATGAAAGGGAATTACAATGAAATGAGGTTAGAGTAAGCTAAAGTGAACTGGGCAGATAGATTAGTAGGAATGACAAGTGAACAAGCAGTAGAAGACATTTAAGGAGGTAATTCATGAATCTCGGCAAAAGTACATCCCAGTAAATAGGAAAGATTCTAACAGAGGGATAAATCAACCATGGCTAACCAAGAAAGTTTCAGAAAGTATTACGTTGAAAGAAAAAGCATATAAGGAAACCAAAGTCAGTGACTGTCCAGAAGACTGGGATAAATTCAGAATCCAGCAAAGGAGGGTGAAAAAGATAATAAAGACTGAAGAAAACTGAGGACAAATTAGTGAAGAGTATGAAAACTAACAATAAAACCTTCTTTAAATATATAAAAAGGAAGCGAGAGATCAAAGTGAACATACATCACTCAGAAAATGAATCTGGCAAGACTATTTTGGGTAAAAAACGAAATTAGAAAAAAATTTCTGAAAAATCGTCCAGTGAAAATATATGGGTAGAAATTAGAAATAAGGAAGCAAAGATCACCTTGATGGGATTGTACTATAAGCATGCACCTCCACTCCACCTGG